AAGTCCACTGGGAAACAATGCATTTAAAATGTGTGTTTTCAGTGCTGTGCCTAGCCCCCTGTGAATCCAGCCTAAGGCACAGAGTAACCCTCTCTGCTACCTCTAGCATGGCCCCATGACAGCATGGTAGGGCCTTGCCAATAGCATGACTGCTGCATGTGGAAACATGCATTGAAAAACCCAACACATGGACATTTCGGGTACTATTGATGATGTTGCAACTCATCTGCATAGATCTATTGCTTTCATGAAGGTTTATCTCTTATCTCCGTATTGTCTCTTTAAACATGGCTAACATTAGAACATTAGTCACTCTAAACTGCACTGTAGACATGAATATTAATAAATACTCAATATTTATGTTACGGATTCTGAAACTATTTAAGTGATTGAATCACTGTTTCATGCTCAGAAAGAAAACTCTTTGAGGCTTTGCTAGGTTTGATTGTTGGGTTTTTAAAAACAATTAATATATTAAAGCTATAACACTTAAATACTCTTCTTCCCCCAGCTATAAATGAGAGAAAGCAGCTGTGACCATGTTTATCTAGTGCAAGTAGATTACAGCTGAAGCAGGTTATTGATGCCCTTGCCTCAAAGATATGGAGGCTGGAGCTCTCAGTCTTAATTTCAGCATTTCTCTGGGGCTGGGATCTCTGTGGCTGTAGGGCAGAAAAGCTCTGAGTCCTGGAGCTGGTTATCAGAGTACCCTGAGGAGGAGGTTGGCTAGTGGTTGTTAGAGCCAGCTGGCCAGGTCTGTTTTCCAAAGAGGTGCTGCTGCAGAATGAACAACCCAGCCTGGCTTCTCTCCATCAGATATGGTGGTTAGGAGCTTTGAATTTTTTAAAGCACCGAAGTGCATAAAATCATTCACGTAGATATTAGCATTACCCAATGATAACCTATAACTACACATTTTAATTAACTGGATGTGGCTTACCACCAGTTTCCAAGCAGTCTCTCCCAGGAAATGAGGGAGAGTCCTGCTTAAACAGTCCCATCCAATATGGGACTGGTCTGAAGAAATTCCAGGCTGAACCCCATCCCAAATGGCTTGGGTCTTATCCTTTCCCACGACTGTGTCTGACACAACATTCCATGTAAAGAGGAAATTTGTAATTTTATACATGTATTTTTATACTGTTTTTTTAATGTGTGCACATGAAATAGGCAAACATGCTCCTCCTTCCACTGCATCAAACCTTTTCCTGTGTGCTGACATAATGGCTATGATCACAATTATGCTGTTTGTCTCACAGGTGTAGCTTCATTGTAAGGTAACATTTGTCGGTTTTGCTTCTACCACAGCTGTATCTCCAAATGGAAGCAATGCCACTCAGTCAAGCCAATGCATTTCTTTCTAGTTGTACTAATAAAAATTTACAATCATTTTCCAAATAACTTCTCTGTTGAAAATGTGTTTTAATTTTTAGAGAAACTGAACGATACTATGAAGGTATTAAGTTATAACTTTAGCAATAATGACCTAAAAATAGCCTTCAAAAGGCATTTTTGAATCCTTAGCTGACGTTTTAGCAGCTCTGTTAGCACTGCAACATTTGTGGAGATTCTGGCACTACTACCACTGTACAGCTTTTAGTTTCTTCTGTGTGTATGCTTCCAATACAGAATATTACCATGAATACTGCTGCCAACAACTACTCTGGACTTAGAAATCTGAAAAACTAAAGCTGCAATCAAATCTGCAATCTGAGCATGTTTATGTTCACAGATGACTGTGCTGTTTTCAGTGCTAAAAAAATAATAAAGGGAACACTGAACTGTTGAGAAGCACAGGGAGTGCAATTTGCTTCTGCCCTTCATTTAGCACTACTTTACTTATGGCCAATTAATATTTTGAAGCTTGTATTGAAGACTCACTATCCTTATCTCCCCTTCAGTAAAACAGCATGTAATCACAGCAAATGCTCTCAGGTATTTCTTTTGTTTGTCCACCACAAAAACCCAAAAAACCCAGCCCCAAAACCACCACACCAAAAAAACTAACCAACAACAAAAAAAACCCTAACTCCCAAAGCAAGTTTTACCCAACAGGTAACTTAGATTATGACCCAGATTGCTTGTCAAAATACTCTAATTAGAACACAGCCTGTAGAGTACCGTTTTAAGCAATATGGAGTACCAATACACACATACATACACACACAGAGGTGTTATTTCCCACCACTCCAAGTGGTACAAAAGCACTTACAATCTCAGTGGAGAGGAACGGTGTCCGGAAAGCCTCACCGCACTAAGTTGTGAGTAATGGAGTGATGAGGCTTGTAAAGAGTCATGTAATAGCAATTTAGATGTCCCAAGAGGTACCATGCAGCTGGTCTCAGGTCTAACAGGTGACTCCCACTCATGTTTCTTCTTGGTCATTTTGATGCCATGGTTTAGTCAGAAGGGTTTGGAAGATCCTACTCTGAATACTTACAGGTTTTGTATGAAGAAAATGCAGACTCCTGATACTAAATCATCATTTACCTTGCAAATGTGCTGGTAGGTTCTGCTTCTGCAGCAGAGGCAGGTCACAAGCTGGTGTTGTTCCCAAACTTTTTCACAGTGACGGGGGGACAGAGCTGAGGCCTGCACTCCCTCACGTCACTGGAAGTGCCAGGGCTCCCCCAAGAAAGTTCAGCATACCCCAGCTGTAGAGTTAGAAACTTGTAAAATATGGATCACTCTCCTCTCAGTGGCAACAAGTGCAGAGAAGCCATGGATTTAAAGTGCAGAAGAAACATTCAGATCAGATAATGAAAACAAAACCAATATTCGACTCTGAGGGCAGGAGAGAACTGCCTGTTTCTCTGGAGCTCTTTACAGCAGGATAACATCTGCTAGGAAGGACAAGGGTGGAGCTGAGCCTGCCTTGGGGCTGTGGAGCAGAGTAGATGATTTCACTTCATCCCAGTAACTCTCTTCCTGTATGATTCTGCTGTGCTACCAGCTTGTCTCCCTACACAACCTGCTGACTGTTTTGCAACCTTGCAGCTCCCATTTCTTGTCAAGAAAGCTGAGATGTTTCACTTGGGAATCCCGGAATATGCCCATGGCAAGGTGTCCCCCAACAGCAAGAAGGATTTTACATCCAAACATCTGAAAAAGTAACTCAAACCAACACGATCTCTTGGAATTTGAATGTCTACCATCACTTTAAAGTTCTCCACTATCTTTATGTTAGAACTTACCAAAAACATTTTGTCATATGTTGAACCAAATTTAAAAAAAAATTCAGAAATGGCTGTCATCATTTTCTCCTTCCACTACTTTGCTTCTGCAGGCTAAACAAAAAGTGTATTTTCTCTTTTTCTCCTCACTAACACTAGGGATAGAGTCAACCCTAATTACATTCTACCTTTTGAACACAGAGCTGTTTTAAACATTTGGTAACATGTGGTGACCGGCATTTGAATGAACTCAGCATGCCCTCAATATCTGCCCTATGTAGCAGCAGCTGTCCAGACCTCACAGCGTTTGTTTAAATTCTTTCAGAGATCTTAAAAGATGTGGAATATGTAATGTTGATCATTGATGTGGAAAGCTCATGGTTCAATTAAAAAGCAGAGCCCTTGCCCAAAACATGGTGCCTAAAAATAAACATACAAATCTTGGCAATTTTAAAGCAGAAACATTTAGAAAGTAACAGAACCAAAAAATGGGCTCAGCACTAATTAGCAACTACAATTTGAGGAAACTGTTTATTTCAACAGGTGCTGTGAATACAAACAGATTTCCTAAGTTTCTCTTTAAATTGCCCATGTAACTTTTTGGGATGTAAAAAGGAGGCAGTATTTTAGAGTCTGGAATCTAGAAGTTGCCACATGCACCTCAGCCAATTTTTGTGCAGTGTGTGAGCATGGGAAACTCTCAGAGACCAGGACTCATCTATCTTGGAGACAAATGAGCAACAGCACTCAAATATGAGACATGCAATGCACTATACCTTCTTTTGAGCAGCCTTTAGAGACACTTAAGCTGATTATTATCAAAGCCTGGAGGAATGCAAAAACACCTGAGAGTGAAGAAGAGTGATGTTATCAGCTAGAAGCTGCTATTTGTAAGGGAAGACAAATTGGAGCTCCTCACTGTTGCTGGCAGACAATTTTGAGGTAGTTTAGAGAAAAGACAGCCAGCCAGCATCTGAATTGAGTGAGGTGGGAAAGAAGTCCATTTGGTGGCAGATAACATGAAATCACACATGGAGTCAAAATGGAGTGATACAGCAGGAGGATGAACTGTCATGGAAAACAAAAGGCTGCACTTAGGATTTGCTCCTTATGTGAAGAGGAAGGCGAGGAAGACATGTTACATGAGTCTCATTTGGGTTTCTTTCTTATGGTTAAAATGGTGTTTTGTCCATCAGTGAGATGACCCCTGCAATACCCTGGTGAACAAACTAGACCACAGTGGTTATATAAATTACTGTCTACACACACTACAACATATAATTAAAAGTCTTGACACAAGCCAACCAGTAACACCACATCCCAGCCATGTTGGTTATTTCATACTTCAGCAAGTGGTGAATCCCAGGGCATGCTAGGGTTCTAGGACTGCAGTGTAAGGGAGCAGGCTGACTTACCTGGACTGCATTCTGCAAATCCACGTTCATGCAATGTGCTGCCCATAATACCACAAGGCATTATGCAATGTTGCATACAAGAAATAAGCAGTATGCAAAGTCTACTGTGTGAAGAAATATAAAAAATAATCCAGACATTTAGACCTTGAACATCTTAATAAATTATGGAAAAGTCTTATAAACAAAAAAGCTTTTAAGGAAATCTGTTCATCATCTGCCTTGGCTGAAGAAAATAAAACCACAGAACGGCATAAATCAGCAGTCATTACTCCTGTGTTTAACCAGCTAGCATTCCAACTTTGTAAAATACAGTAAAGCATCTTCTTCACACAATACAGAATTCAAAACTACCTTGTGTGCTAGAGATACAGCACTGCTGGCCTTTTCAGAAACACATACACACAGACTTTGGCACATGAACTATTACCACCAAATGCAAATGTATTAGTTTCCTTTGATAAATTCAGTCTTTACAGAGTTCAAGCCACTTGTACTCCCAGACTCATCCTGAATGTCTGGTAAGAAAGAGGTGTTCTTTACTAACCCATCTCTTGAACAGGTCTGTAAAGGTGTTTTAGATGCTAGCCAACACTGTCAGTGCTTTCTTCCTTCGATACAGCACCTGCAGCTGAGCTCGAAGGCACAGAAGTGGGTTGGAGCTCCACTCTATCATTCACATTGCACTCATCTTTCCATCTCTTAATTGCTTTCCTCTGCTCCTCATGGGACAGTCTGACAAGGTACTTGGCTCTCAACACTGGAGATGGAAACAATGTTCCTTGGAGAACTCTTATCAAATATCTACAAAATAAACATAGTTACAAAGAAGCTGTTTAAAAGAAAAGCCAACATATTTCCAATAACTAAAGGAAACCAAACACCATTTCAGTAACCCTGATGCCTAGTTCCTGGACTGGAACTAGATGATCTTTAAGGTCTCTTCCAACCCAGGCCATTCTGTAATTCTGTGATATTAGAGCTGACTTAACTGGCAACTTAGGCTGGATTTAATCACAGATTTTTGCAGTGAATTTTCAGTCAACAGGGCATCCAACATCTGTCCCTCCATCAGAGAACTTCTCCTTTAAACCTGTAGTGAAAGCCCCAACTTCACTCATACTAGAAGCTGCAGAGGACCCCCCCAGCTTCACAATGCCCCTGAGTGGGGGCTTTTCAGCACCATACAAAGGATCATATCAGAAACAAACATGGGAAAATACATACATGTGACAGCAGTAGTCCCATAACAGGCACTTCTGCTTCAAATCACTCTAGTAGAAAAGCTGAAATTAGCCACAACAGCTATAAATCTTCTGAGGTATTGGCACAGGGAGAGTACATATTACTTGAATTTCTAAATAGTTTGCCTTTAATTCACCATGAAAACTACTGTTGTCTTCAAAATTGAACAGCCACATATTGGAAGCAGTCACCAACCCGAAACCTTTATCCTTCCTTGGCTCTCTACAGCCCAACCAAAAGGTCCCAGAACAGCCTTTATCTATTAATTTGTCATGTAGGGGAGATGGAAAGAAAAGGTTCTACTGTCACCACCTGAAACAAGCTGAGAGCAGGAACAGAATGGGAAGAGGACACATGTTTCTTGCACCTCACACTTTGTCTTTCTGCTGAGGTGTGAACCAAAGCCATCAGTCAGATCAGATCAGTCATGATCCCCAGTGAGTGCAGTAAAACTCTTGATGACATGCTTAAGACACAGATCAGACATGTTCAAACAGGACTGAATATTGGTGGCCACTGCAGGCATCTACAAGCATGGCTCTGCCAGCTTTCCTGCTGGTGGGACTGATAACTCATGGAGCCTGTACTACTGCACTTGATCCAGAAAGTACGCTCAGATTGTGTCTAATGATATAAAATTACATCAGATGAGCAGGAAACAGCACTTATTCCCCTCAACTCTTCTCAGTATCTGTGCAATTCAATTTCAAGTCTAATTCTTTCTGAAATTATGTAAGAGGGAAAGAAAGAGAACATAACACAAAAGAATGAGTAATTAGCACTGGAGACATTTCACTAGTAGGCTACAGACTTGAGTTCACACTCAGTGAACTGAAGATAGCTGTGGCTACTAAAGAAAGCTAAACAGAGGGTTTGATGAAGTCTCTTTCACTGCTTTTCACATGGTTTGTTTTGCTTTGTTGGCTCACTCAGGGTCCCTGTTCAGCATACTGGAGTCTTCCACCTCCATCCAATACTACTGCCCTTCCAGGGTGAATGAATTATTGAACTTGAACTTCAGTGAGACAAAAAAATATCAAGACCCCTTGTGAGTCTAGTCAGCATACTTCCACCCCACAAAGAAGCCTGTACATGCATTCTTCATTCTAAATACTCTTGTACATATTCATGCTATAAATGACAAAAATAAAATAATTTTACAGACTAAGCACATTATTTCTTTGTCTATATATAGAACATGCCCAACTTTGTTCACTAATTTAACTGATTTGTATATAAATTATGAACTGTGATTACAAAAATTAGTTTTTCTTTACCCTCCAAACACAGTATTTAGTATTATATAAATCACAAAAGAAATTTTTTTATTACTGAAATTTACTTGGAGAACCAAATGGTACTAAAAAGTTGTCCTCACATAGCTTTGTCCAGTAGAATCATGAAATTTTCATTTTTATTGGGGGATGCTAGCGGGGAAAGACCTCTACCCAGAGATTTGTAACATCACTGACTCACAGAAAACTAATTTTGGTAACAGCAGCAATCTACAATTATAAAACAGAAACTCACCTGGGTAGCAGAGCAATGCAAGTAGTTAGGACACAAACTAAGTAAAATACTGGGTCTGTCATGTGCTCTTCCATGATCCAGTAGAAATCTGATCGTGTGTTGTGGGTTTTGCAGGTTGCTCCAACAGCCAGAGTGAACACAAAGTAAAACAGGATGCTGCCAACTATAGCTACTGTATGTATCCATGTCTGCAATTCAGAAAAGGAAAGAATTAAGATTTAAGCTGTAAACCAGAAAGTTTGTTACATCTGTATTTGCATGAAAGTGCACCCTTTTCCTCCAAGGGCAGCTGTTGAATGTAACAGAGGATACATCTGTTCAGATAATACTCCTAATTTCATACAATACAGTCCAGAAAGAATGGAGCCTTCTTTCTACAGTATATAGATGTTCCAGACATTTAATTTTTAAAATTCTCATAAATTCATAGCTTTTCATTCTTTTGTGAAAGACATTTGCCTCAGATTACCACCTCATCCACTGGCAGCATAGAAAGCTTTCTCAAGCAAATGGAGGTGAGATCTTCACATGACAACATCCTTATGTATCTGGCTTGAAACGTTGGTTACCTTTCTACACTGGAGTTTTCTACAATTTTACACCTAAATGGCTATAACAGCTGCTGAGAAAACAACATTGTCACTGATCTGACAGCTTGCCAACATTAAAAAATTCCAAACAAAACACATTTAAGTAAAGTTCTCTAATCAGAGCGTGAACACGCATGCTATACATATGTTCTTAATAAAGACATTGTAATTATGGCTTTTATACTCCCAAAAGAACAGTGAAAAGACTGAACCACAACTTGACATTTCATCCACTATAAAACAACCCTAAAAAATACCTTTAAAAAGTCAAAGAAAAAACAAAACCCATTATTAAGAGTCCTTCTACTGTACCCATTATTGTATTTTCTTTAAAATTATGCAAAAATCCCAAATATGACCCTTGTAAGTGCTCTAAATTTATCCAAGGTAAATGCTAAATGCTAATGCTTTAGCTTGTGCAGACTTAAAAACTGAAATAATGTTTCTTAACATATCGGTTTTCCAATTCTGACATCAAAATACATCTGAGTTGTTTATCCTGGCCACAGAGAAGATCAATTCCAAGCATTCAAAATCAGCAATTTACACTATTGTCTTTGTGATGCAGACTTTGTGAACTAAGGAAGTTTCAGCAGATCACTGGCAGATTTTAGCATTTCCAAAACGGAACCAATATCCCCCAAATCACCCTACTTTAAAAGGAAGCAGGATCATTTCACTATTTACAAATAATTCTGAGGCCAAGTTTCATTAATTTTAGTCATATTTTTATTGGTTCCAATGACAGGTGCATTAGGAGAGCTCACATGGTCATATAAGTATAATATTTAGGGTTTGAATCTTTTATACTTAATTTTCTTCTGTATATGAAGTCCTTTCTTCCCTGTAATTTTACTGAAAGCTGTATGCACATACTCTGTAAGGAATATACTCTTTGGGAAACAAAGTACTCACCACAGACTTGCACTCAATGAGAAGGTGAAACAGCATTATGAAGAGTGCTGCTGTGTTTATGGGGTTTCCAAAGGAAAAAATGTCTATGTCTGAGCCACAGTAAGTCTGTAAAGGAAGAGAGTGGTCAGCATTAAATATTCTTTACATATAGTCCTAATATAAAGTGACATGAGTAACTTCAATACCATACATATTTGCACACACACAGTTCAGTTCTGTTCTAATGATGATGTTCTTAGTATACATTCATATACAAGGAAGTAAAAATCAAATACTTCATTATATTCTCTAATTTGCTTAGGTTTTAAGTAAGTCAAAATGTATAAATGTATTTTGTAGCCAGCACTTACAAAGTAAGGCACAAAAAAGCAAACGAGACTTTGGTAAAAAGCATCCAGCAAGGTTATCCAGAAAGCTGAAGGCAAGTAAGCCTGTAAGAGAAAAACATAATGGCATTGAAACAAATTGAACAAATTGCTGCATTCTTAACTAGCATTAATTTGGATCTGGGGAAAGATTATCTGCAGAAGTAATTCCAGTTAGTTTCCAAGTGAAAAAGGCATCATATAGTTACTAGAACAAAGATTTCCCTCCACACGTATAGCTGTTAGTATTTAAATCAGTAGCCAGCTCTGAGAACTCTGAATCTTGCAGCTGTTCCTATTAGAATGGATGTACCAGAGCCTCAGCTAACTGAGTCCTAAGGAGGGGAGGGGGCTGATGGACAGGGAAGTACCCTGCAGCTCAGCATTGCTGAATACCAAGTCCCACCTTCTTCCATCTCCATCCCTTTTTGTTATGTGTGCTGTTTGACTCCTCTGTGTGGATGGGACTGCTCAGTGAGCTAATTTAACTCATTAGATGTGAGAAATCAACTCACTTTTCTGCTGGAATAATGTTGGATCCCAGAAACCTGGTTTTTTTGACCTTTCTGTGCTTTCTGGCACTGACCCCCTGGGGAACACTGCTTTTGACCTGAGGCCTTGGAGAAAGCTTCCAAATTTGAGTGATTTAAGTTAAAACCACAGGTGTGTAGTTAAATAGAAGTGTGTGCTTTCAAATGGTGAAGGGTTTTAAATTGGAGGTTTTTATAATATAGTAATAGGTATGGGACAAGATGAAGGATTCTGGGTAGTGTCTCTTTCGGTCCTTCCTCCTTTGTGGTTTCAGGTAGCAGTTTCTGGTTGGACAGTTAGTGCCACACTGAGGGTCATGGGAATTTGGCTATTGGGTTTAAAGTATAAATAATACAGGTGTTATTTCTCTATTGGACTGTTTAGCTTTAAGAGACCTTGTAGCTAGCTGCATTCATCTCCATTTTGCTCGCTTTGAGCTGGTGGCTAGAAGCGTTGCTGAACTTTCTGTACTTTAGATAAGATTTAATAAACAACCAAGCCTGAACATGAGAAAATCCATTTCCTTCGTGTGTTCTTTAATCCTGGTTCTGAGTGAAAACAGAAGAGACTCCAGACAAACCACTAATTAAGTGGTGCAAAACACCACACCATTACAGAGTAAAACATTGCTCTTTTAGTGAGTTAAATCAGCTCCTGGGAGGACCTGATGGGACAATTCAGCTGGCACAAGGAAAATAGTTTAACTATATGGATGAAGAGGGAACAGGAAGAAAAGAAGGGAGAAGGGAATAAGACTTCCTCCCTCAGTAGCAGCAAGCTGCTATGACAGATTAACCACCTAGGAAATAATAGTTGCCTATGCTCTGGCTCAGCTATATCCCATTCCTTCAGGCATTGAAGTGAGACACAGAGATGAGAAGCCCAATGATCCAAGACGTCCTCTACGATTAGTGGAGAGATGGGTTTTTCCAGAGAGACATTTCAGCCCTTTCAAGAACGGAACTGCTGTCTGGAGGTGATGTGGGAAATTTACTTGCCTTTCAGGAAAGTGCTTTCAACTACTGAAGATGAATCCCATTTACTGTTCCATTATTTTTTATAATTTATACAAAGGTGTACACTTGTGATGTCATGGTGCAATATTGTGATATTGCATCTTATTGCATCTTTTAAAGCATTTCTGTTTCTTTGATACTGTATTTAATTCCAAGCAAATATTTCCGTGTGCTTCCATGCAAGAAAGGAAATTATAACAACTCCAACTACAGAGCAAGGAATGATAGATGGACAAAAGACAAAAACACTAACAGAAGATAAGGAAATAAAAAGGGAAAGAAATAGATATATTATGTAATGCAGTAATTCTGATTATGTTGCTTCAAAACTTTCATCTCAGCTCAGATCACTGTATTGTACATATCCTGAAGATCAAAACAAATCATGAGGCCTTACAACACTTACTTGATCAAAAGTCTCTGACTGACAAAGCACAGACCTACTCAAGCCAATTTACAGAGATTTGGATTGGTACCAAAAGAGCACTTTGTTTTTCAAAAATACTGTAAACCAAAAAACATGGAATATTTAAGGATATATAAAAAGAAATGTAGAAGTCCACAAACAAGCAAAACAAATTGTCCATTCACTGTATGACCTTCTTTCCCTTCTAGTCCAGACCCAAACTTCTTCCAGGTTATAATAAATGAGACAACACCAGTACACAACATGTTGTATCTTTTTTTTTTTTTTTTTAGTAGTACTTGTTAGAACAGAGTGGAATAGAACAGAATAAAATATTTCAGTTGGGAAGGATTATCTGGTTCAAATGCCTGACCACTTAGGTCTGACCAACATTATTAGAGCATTGTCCAAATGCCTCCTTAACACTGACAGACTTGGGGCATTGACTACACCTCTAAGAAGTCTGCTCCAGTGTATGACCATCCTCTTGGTAAAGAAATGCCTTCTGATGATATTGTAGGATCTGATGATAAAGAAAATGTTGAGTTTTAGGTGACTCATATAGTCAATGTTTCCTCTCTCTGGACTATTAACACCTATTTTGTCTCAGGCTCAGTATGTCACTGCCTTCAATTGTTATAATAAAGATATTATTTCCATTATTAAATTTTTAGAAATATAAATTTAAAATTATGCTAGAATTCATACTATGTAAAGCAGAAATCAGGAAAACCCCCACTGATTTATGTAATTTTGATTTAGAACCTACTCCCCCACTCTCTTTGATTTTCTGTGCTAAGTGTTTGGACAGAATTTAATCACAGACCAGGTACGATGTATAGTGTTTTCAGGTGGGAAGGCAAATTTCAGAACATACCTGTAAGGTGAACAGTACCCTGACTGACAGAAGTTCTTTGAGGATTATTTGAAATTAATCTGCTCTGGTTCTTTGGCAGTTGAGACTCTTATATGACAAAGAAAAGATATAGAGTATATAGAGTGCCCTTATCTTGCTCAAACAAATCGCAATTTGAGGAAGCATGTTGACAGCTGACATAATGAATGAAATAAATGTGTTGGTAACAATGTTTGTCTAGTACATTGTTTTACCTGAAGTCCTTAATTTCTTTTATCATCCAGATGTCTGATAAGATTGGGTCTATGACTAAAAAGAGCCTAAAAATAGTTTGGAAAATAGGTTTTTGTTTGTGCACATATTGCACAGGTCTAGACACTTCTTAATAGAGAAAGTAATTTAAAACAATGTTTGAGATGAAGCATAAAAGAAAGACATAAATGGTACAAATGCTGACGATTTCAATTTGCTTCAGGCTAAGCACTCTGTAACCTACCACAGATTTCTGGCTTGTTGTGTAAAGCTGTGGGAGTTCCATGAGTATCTCTGCAGATACATCTTTGTCCAAGACACCATAAATGATGGGTGGCACCGATGTAAAAAGGAGATTGAAAAGAATCAAGATCCAGTAGTCAGTCATTGATGTGCCTGAAAACCCGCAGAAAAACTGGTACCAAAACAGGAGGTTCACATAGGTCTGAAAAGCCAAAGATGACACGATGAAATTTTAGCCATTGACAAATGCTTTAAAAACAAGAGAAAAACCAGTAGGTCTTAGGTCTGGTTAAAGTAATCTGTGGAAACATTTCAAAATCAGACATGACCTGCTGAAACAGTGATGCTGCCACCATATTAGTAATGCCCATCACCCACTGTTCAATCAAATCAAATAATGTTTTTGATTGGGAAATTTAGTCCAAGAAATAAGTCTGGTCTCTGCAGGCAAATGGGAAACAGAACTGTTTGACACATGCTTTTTGAAACCATTCATAATAGCAAGACAAAAAAGAAAAGAAAGCCTTACTAAACCTTCCAGTGCTCAAAAATATGTAAACTGCAATTTCCCTGGAATGGGACAGCTACATACCACATTCTTGTAGAAGAAGTAAAGCACCATGTTGGTAAGTCTGGTATAACACCAGTGACCATGGACAAGCAGCAGCTTCCTGAGATGTCTAAACTGAGAGATTGCAAAGTCACTTGCCATCACAGCCTGCAACACACATGAAGAAAAGGATATAATCAAATTGTTAAAGATAAGCTTCAGATACTGCCAACCAAGCAACTTATTCATTGCTGGAAATTCTTGTAATTTTTTATACATAGTGCTTGCCAGGTTATCCTCACTCAGATATCCTCTTCCATACAAGACTTTACAACTAACACACAGAGATCAGTCCAACACAGCACAGGCAGGAATATGGCTGTCATCATTATTAACACACAATAAATCACTGCGCAGAAATCACTGACACTGACACTTAGGCTGCTCATTTCCCTGCACAACATGAGTAATATGGAGCTCGTTGACAGGCAGCAAACTGTTGTTTGGAGCTTGACCTGCAGCATTCAGCTTCTGATTGCTCCTGGTGGAGTGCTGAGGCCTGGGTGGTGGAATGCTAAGGCCTGGGTGTGAGGCTCAAGCTGTAAAGTCTTGCCCATGTAAGGGAACAGACTGTGGAGCTATTGAGTCTCTAGAGTACACTCTGAACTGACTTAAAATGGAACCTGACACTCATTTGCAGCTGTCTTTGGATACACTACCTGCATACCTTCCTGGCCAGATATTCCCACACCAGTGTCAGCCACCTGGATCATACTGACATCATTGGCACCATCGCCTACAGAGAAAAGAGGAAAAATCAAAACTAGCTTTGCTGGCTATCACATTGCTATGGAGGTGGCAGGCAAAGACAAATATCAAACACCAGAGAGTTCAGAGAAATACATTTTTATTGCCAACACTGAAAAACACTAAGGAAAACAGGATTAGTAAGTGGAAGGCCCAGCTGAACATGAGCTATGTTCTCCAAATAGTTAATAGCTGTTCCTTTTGTCAGAATTTAGCTGGCAATCCTGCACCAGAAAATATGTGTGCTTTAAATCACAGCCAGTCATCTCCCCTCTGCCTCCTTATTTTGGGGGGTTGTGATGGTAAGAAAAATGCTCTTACTTGCTGCTTTGCATGTTATATAACAATGGTATGACTGACGCTGTTCTGACTGCTTTATAGTGACATAAGTTTATGGACTAAATTTGCTACTTCAGATGATAAACATCATCTTATGTCAGAGACAACTGCAATTCAAAGGGTTATCTTGCTCATAAAAGAAATTTTGTGACAGACATTAACAAAATACATGAGAGAAGAAACTGGCTTCTTTTCAGAGAAAGGAGGATAACCACAAGACTCACCTACAGCTAATGTCATTGCCTTTAGCTTACTTCGTACCAGTTTGACCAGGACACTCTTCTGCAGTGGTGTGGCTTGGCAACAGACTACAGCCCGACATTTTTCTGTGAGTTCCAAGAAAATATTCTGTAGGCTGTCATGAAGGACATGTTCTAAAGTCTTTCCATCAATAACCAGGCCTGCACTGAATCCTTGAGCTTGGGGGGAGAGACTTGCAGAGACATTTCCAAGTTTCTCACTGTTTTTTTTTTTGACAGAAGCATTCTTCTGGATGCCTTCTAAAATTTTGCTCATTACCAAGGCACAGGCTTCCTAATTAAAGACAAGAGAAAAGTACCTTATGAAATACTATTTGTACTCTGTCTCCCTTTTCAATTCATAAAATACATATGGGGAAAAGGTAAAATGCTGTCCTTGTATAGCATTTATCTTGAAAGGCTCAGATATGAGGCTGAATACCTCTTTAAAATCACAAAGGATGAAGACTTGTTAATAAAAGTGTCTGTGATGAACTTTGCTTAAGCAGATTTGCTTGAATATTGCATTAAGAGAAGAGAAAAAAACCTATGCAAGCCAGAAAACCTTCACAGACTAGCAGGAAAAGCAACTTGTAATATAAATACAGCTTTGATAAAACTTTTGCTGTCTGTGTTTTTCTTGTCTTGCTTAAAAAGCCAAAAGCGCACCTCATATCACATTACAGGTGAGCTGCCATTAATTAATGAAGAACTAGCCTTGTGGAATGTTTTACCTTATCAGAATCAGTATAAGATACTCAAAGAGCTCGTGGTATCAATATTTGTAAAGCACATGCAACACAGAAGAAACTACATCTTCCCAAGTCTTCTCAGCATTTTACTTTGAAATGCAACAGTATCAAATCCTGGTTTTTATTTCTAAGCTTAGTCAGAGGGAGTAAGAGCACTTCTGCAAAAGGGGCTTAGTTCTTTCTCACTGTCAAGTAAGACACTAATTTCCCAGCAGAGCAAAAGGAAAAGTGTTGGCACAAATCCAACTCCAAGTTGTACTAAAATTGGACAATTAGACTAAAAGTCCTTTCTTTTTCCACTTTAATTTCCCCACAGTTACTGTTGCCACACTATCTTTTATGGCATATACAAATTGTATTTCTTAAGATACATATAAGCAGAGAAAAAAGAAAAAAAACAAGAACAATCCTCTAAACCTGAGGCCACGTCAACTCCTTAGCTTATCACAGAGAGAAATAAAGAAGTTTATTCAATTAAAATAATTAATCATAATCTAGGGACTGTATATAACGAAACATATGTTACATACATAGAAAGGAGTTCATATTTTACCCACAAGGAAGAACAATACCAGAAAAGCAAATGTTCTTTGGTTTCCTTAGCAAACAACATTTGCTTTTCTGTATTGTCCTGTGGAATAAATAGCCTTATTGAATTTTTCAGCGTAGAAGAAAATCTACTTTTCTACTCACCCTACTCTGTGATTTAAGAGTGAAGATTCTGTCCTCGGGTTCCAGCAGTTTACAAGCATAGGCAATGTTGACAGCTGTCTCTCTCTTGTCACCTGTCAACATCCATATTTTTATTCCAGCTTTCCGTAATGCCTGTATTGTGTCTGGAACACCCTCCTGCAGGCGATCTTCAATGCCAGTGGCACCTTGATTTAAACAAGCAGAAAGATTAGTGCTGCTGTATTTCCAAAACCAGAATGCTCCAAGAGTGACAGGATGAGCTAGTTCTCTGTCTGTACCCTCACCCCAAAACAGACATGCTACCATGACATGCTTGGAAATTCCTGAAAGCAAGCACCCTGGCAGTTTGAAGTAATTTAACCTCCATATTTTTGCTTCCATTTAATATTAGGGCCAACTCATATTGCTTATTGTCACACCAGAGACATAAGCCTGCAAGACAGCAGGTCTCCAAAGCAGCTTGACTTCTTTCTGTTGGCTTTAGTGGCAAAGGGTACCTGTATATCCTTAAAAAAGAATCAGTTTGCAGCACTGCTCTGGCTTCTCTCCAGAAACTGGAGCCAGTAATCCCAGAATTCCTTTAGTATCTAGGTTTATGGCATTTGCACTAAGCAGATATGACACAAAATGAGGGAAAGAGCAATCTTTACACAACACAATCTCTCTCTCTTCAGCTTCTAGCATGAGATGTCTTTACCACCACAGTCAGATCTTCGCACTTTGTTTTCCAAATGTTATTTGCTGGGTAGTTCTCTAAAATGATTATCCCAGACTGCCTGCAGTTTACCTGTCACACACCTACAGCAAATATTTTTTGCTTCATTTCTGCACAGCTGAATGACCTTCAGAGGAATGGTTCCTGAAGAAGCATGCAGCTTCTTTTCTCTTCTGTTATTACAGGAGAACACAGCACAAGCACACCTGCTGCGCCATGAATATAACAGTGATAGAAAATATGCACAGAAGTTTATTTGCATTTGAGTATTTGCACAGGCAAATAAGTAACTTGTTACTATCATTTCATGTGCTTGTTATAATGACATTTAAAAACTCTAGTGAAGACAGAAAAATACCCAATAATAACAATAAAAACCCCACAAAAAATAGTAGATTTTTACAAACAACAAGAGCATCATCTGTCTCCAGTGTGCTTTACTACTACAAACTTACCCGTGAGATTTATGAAAATTCAGGAGTTTTGATAAATTCTAAATCTTTAGAAAGCTATGTGTTACACGGATTGAGATTAGCACAGCTCTCTGCAAGCAAATTCCAAGTATGAACGTCATAGGCATTTTCCTGGGAGTTACAGTATTTTCTACCTACCAAGCAAAGTTAGTTTGGTCTCAAGCCTCATGGCAGATTCAAGCAGCAGGTCCTCCCTATTGTCAATGCTGGTTTCTGCTAAAAAACGATGATTTAACCACTCTGCATATTCTGCATCACTCATCACCTGCACAGGGAGGGAAAACATACGGCATGTATCTATACTGGGTTTTCAACAGTATATCATAAGAGTTCTTGTGGTTACTTCTGCTGCCCACGTCCAGAACCTACAAGTGCAGTCCCTGGCAGCACATTGCTCAGGAATGCCCATGGATTTAGTACAATGTTCAGAGTATTAGATTATGCCGCTGGGCTACTCATTGGCACCCTGCAGGCTCCTGGGGCTGCCTGACAGATTTCCACTCGGATGGAAGACAGGCAGGGCCATGGGCACAATGCACTCTCCCTACTGCTGCTCACCTGCAGCACTGACAGTGCCACAGAGCCACTGCACAGCTGGCACAGCCACACAGCCTGCACCCCCACTTTACATAAAGCTTTGTAAAGAGGCTTTTCACCTGTTTCAACCCCTATGGAATTCTGTTTCCAAGCAGCTTTTAATTTAAAATGGAATCTCAAAACATCACTTCAGTTGTGCATCCACAGCTTGTAACACTGCAAATTGTTCGTGAAACCCAATGAAACAGGTGTGAAAATCTGTTTTCTGTGTCTGGAATTCCACTCAGGGTAAAATTCACACAAGGAGACATGCTTATGACTCCTAAAGAAAAATCTGGCTATTTCACCATCCTTGTTTTAAAATGAGGATGCTAAGATGTTTGGCATCCTAAACCAACAACAATGGCAATTAATGGATATCAGGAACTGATCTCGGTTTTCTTACAAATTCCTCCTAAAAGAACATCAGGACAAACGAAATGTGGAACTAGAAGAATCTGTTTAGAAGATTTAGATTTAGATGATGTTTTCTCCATTGGTGATACCACTGAGGCTGGTCACAGACTGAAAACATTCTTCAAAATATATATTAAAAGAAATACCTTCTTAGCAATACACAGAGTGCGCAGTCCTCTTCTGGCATAGTCATCCAAATGCTGCTGAGTTCTCTCTTTAATCCTCTCTTCAATTTCAAAATTATTAGTATGTACTATCACACAAAAAGAAGAGTAAGCAAATCAAACATGATGTTTAGGCTAAATTTAGTGGAAAATTTTGAAGGCCTAAATGAATTCTTAAAGTAACAAAATGTTAAAACTTATCATTAAAGAATGATAAGGGCAAACAAAGAATTACAAGTTCTGTAGATACCTTCAGATGCAGTTCTCAGCAAATCCATCATGACTGAGTCTGCACCTTTTGTGTACACCACCACTTTGTTGGAGACTGGATGCCGAATCACCACTGACATCCTTTTCCGCAGTGAATCAAAAGGCAGGATATGCAAAAGCTGAAACGTTAAAGACCCCCGACCTGCAAAGTCCACAGTTACTTGATCTGGAGTCCTAGACTGTAAAACACATTTATAAGCCCTAGCAGCATGAACCAAGGCAGCTTCGTCTGGACTCTCAGCTTCATAACATAGTTTTGGTATGGGAGATAATTCAGTAGATGACACAGCATGGTTGCATTCACCACCAGCAGCTACATTCACCAGATGTAGTTCTCCTGGCACCTGAGAATCTTCTGGGCTGTCAGTATTCTGAGGTTCAGAAACCCTTTGAGCAGCTCCATCTGAAGCAGGTGAAGCCAGTTTCATCCTAAAAACAGACAGCTTTCTCACAAAACTATTGGGGCTTTCAGATGATGACTCCTTTACACTTGGAAGTGGGGAAGAATTTAGTCTCCAGACTGAAAACTTCTGGAACATCTGCCTGATTTCCTCAAGTGATTTAATAGGCATCCTACTCAGCGAAGAGACTCTCATCTGGAACAGAATAGTTAGAAAAATTATTTATGTTAAATTCTCCCTATTTTATTTTATTAAGGAAAGACACCTTACAAAGTAGGTATGTTTCATAATGAAAGTAGTAAAATTAAAATTTATAATGGGTGTGACTGCTTGTATTAAAGATCACCAGCTCAAGTAAACATGAAACCATATGAGTAGAGTAAACAGCCTCTATAAGCTGTGAAAGTAGTTCAGCTCTGAAAATTGGATGTGTTTCAAGTTTAATTCATGACTCCATGCAATACTTTTTTTCGGAACTTTCAACAAGGAACAGAGTTAGTATGACATTGTAACTTTTAGAAGTTGTGGTAAACTGAACTAAACACTTTAATCTTTGCTCTGAATTAACAAAATTGTGAAAAATAAACCAACCCCCTCACAATAACTAGCTACAAGAACTGCTAAACATACAGTACCTTATCAACAGTTTTTAGTGTTTTAAATTAGAAAACAGTTCCCCTGTGATCAGTGTTATAAAATAATAATGTTACTCAGAACAGCTAGAGAGGTAACAGCTTACAAAAATAAACCATACAAAGCTGACATTCCTTTCTCATTGCTGGCAAGCAAGTAAGAATGAGTTACCAGGAAGCATGTTCCCTTTTACCACTGAAAAGCAAAAAGCAGGGACAAACTGTGGCTCAGTTCCTCCACAGTTCCAGCAAGTTGTAATGTGTCTCCATTCAACATCATGGAAATAGAGACTAGGATCATCCTTTCATTGCCTCTTCCTCTGGCTACACTGAAATCTCCCGTTGCCTTGAGTTCTTTCCTGTCATTCCCTAATCATGAACTCAGAAACCTCCTTCCACATTTCTTCTCCCAATATAACTACTAGTGACCTGGAGATCTTCTACCCTGCTGGCAAGTTATTCAGACATATTGCTATCAAAAAACCAAGACTCTCACCTGTATATTTTTCTCGATCCCATTTAAGGAATAGGTAACTACTGACTATAACTCACCTGCCTCATCCACACATGGATCTCTAGGCTGCCTACTACACTTTCTGGAAATTCTTGGAAGCACACTAAAATACTAGGCTTATTTATACATAGGAGGAACTTCACACCCCACAGATTTTGTGAATGTCTCCAGCTATGGTTGTAGGTTTAATACCTAGACGGACACCAAAATCTAGTTCTGCACACGTCACTAATTTTTTTTTCCCAAAAACAAAGTCAATGAATGTAAATCACCAGGTAATGAGGGGAAAAAAATCAAAGCTGAACTTGGGAATTATCCTGCAACACAGTCAAAACTGGCAAAAAATGGGGTTATGAAAATCCCATGCTGAAAAATCCAATTGAAATGTGAAAAAAAACACTATTATTTTTATAAAAGAGGTAGGTTGTGTCCACTGAAAACAACAAGTCATTACTCTGAACTACTAAACCTGGACAGCCTAGCAAATGCACTGTTAATTTGTGGTAAGACAACTTTATGCCTCACTGCAAAGCAATTTTTGTTCAGACTAATATACATATAAAACTTCATCTTCCATACTTTTGCTGAATCTCTATTTCAATAGTCAGGGAACAGGTAAGAGCATTCTCAGTTTCAGTATTCTGTGAATCTTCAGTGATTATTCTTATTTTTCAGCCAACAATAAACTATTTGTGAAGGTAACCTGAGTGTCAATGTATTCTTACAGGAAGTTATACCCGTATCTAAAAAACCCATAACTAGAATATGGAAAAAATTAAAACTGCAATTTAATCTCCAAATTTGTCTTGTAAAAGTTACAAATTGTCACAGAAACAAAATGATTGAAGCCTATTTATTAACATTTTTTTATTCATTAACTCATTGCACTCCATGGTTTTACAGTAATTCCCTTCTTTCTAACAGGACAGCAGATGTGAAAAGGATAATTTTTTAAATGTCAATTAATTGTATTTTTCTTTTTCTAATTGAACCTAAAGGAGATCAGCTACTTGTAAATATGGCCAAATAGCCAAAAGCAAGGCCTTCTTACCTTCTGACGTGGCTGATTGGGGCCTGAAACTACAACAGTATTACAGATTGCCAGAGCAAGAAAGAAGTCAGTGATATACATTGTCTCCAAAGATAACTTGCTGCTAGCTCCTTCTGGTTGTTGATAGGAATGAAAAGAAATTCGACTGAACTTCTCCAGCAGCTGTGTGTCTGGTACAACGTCTGTCTCCTATTATAAAATGAACAAAACTGTCCATCAGGTTATAAACTTAGTCTCTGGTGATTAAATCAGTTACAGATGATGGAAGTGTAGAAGCTCATACAACTTTTCTCCTGTGCCAAGTTGGTTACACCACGAAACAGGAACACTGGCACCTTCACTGCCTTGTGCTAGTCCACTGAAAACAGCAAACTTCCTGCCCAAAGAGGTAAACACTAAAGGCTTAGTTCAGAGCCTTAAGACACTTCAGAGCCTTAGACACTTCAACAGAGATTAAGTATGATGAATGATATTTAGACACCTTCAGGTACAGAAACAGAGTTCTTTCCTCTCATAACCTCAAATAAGTATTGGCCATTTAGATACTTCCTATTAAAAACAAAGAAAATGCTAGAAACCTCTTAAAATAAAAGAACAAACTGTTATTAAGTTGGTAATTTCATTTGAAGGGATCAGGGATGCAGAAGAGCAAGAGTCAAAGTATACAACTTCATGAACCAACATGTATCTGCAATGTCAGTTGCAAATAGCATGCAGCCAAGCCATCATGAGACCTCTGACTTTGGTGGAAGAGAGAAAGGATTGCTTAAATGACAACCAGTTTGATCAAATGGGAGTAAAAAGAGATATCTTCATGAGTTAATTCAGAAATTTAGAATCAACCTTCTACTTACAATGGGACTGCTGAAAGCCATGTGTCCTGAGTGGGGAATATCACCTGTTTCATCTTGCCTTTTGAATGCAGAGTAACTACCAGACAACTGATCCAAAGACTTTCTGTTCAAAGGTTCAAGCACAGCTTTGTTGTTGTGCCCCTGACATTTTGATGTAGGGGTTGAAGAGCCATACTGACAATCAGCCGAATCATCTTCTGAATCCATCTCCTGATAGGCTTCCAACCTCTTTGCTAAGGAAAGAGAAACAAAATTATTGTTCCATGACCAAAGAGAAACATAGTCAAAATACCATCTAAAGTAAGGAATTAGTTATATAGTTAAGAATAATCCACCATTTATGAAAAACTAAACCTGTAAAAAGCCACCACACTGTCTTCCTGTTTGAGCAGCATTCTACTGGATTGAATCCATAAGAGGGAACAAGAATGATCAGAGTTCTAAGTAACATGAGTCACATGGATACAGTAAAAGAAGCTGGAGTTACAGTGTGGAGGGAGCAGAAAGCATTCCCAAAGCAGAAAACCTCTTTGTGTCTCTAGAACAGGCCCCATGGAAGACAATACCTTAAAGATAAAAAACTGCTTGCTTAGTGACGAATACCAAAAGGCATCCAGCCCCCCCCAGTAGACCACTGTGTTATCTTTCTGTAATATTAGTGGTTCATTTTCCTTTGGTATTAGTAGGCTAATTTTGAATCTAAAGTCCTTCGTGGATTGGTTAGCATTTAGAATTCCCTTGGTAATTGGTTCAAAATGTAAGACCCCCAAAACATATAAAAGACCCTTCAGAAATCCCAACTGTTGAATATGCTAGACTGGATACCTTCATAGAATAAACTATGGAGTTGTGCCTCTCTTCAGGTTCCCATCTCTTCACTGCTGGCTTGAGGGCGAGCCACAAGCCAGATTCTATCTGAGCAAGGCCTGGAAGCTTGTCCTGTCACTGAGGACTGCTGGGGCTCTCTGGGGGTCTGTGAGAGACCCCAAACCCACCAGCGACAGCACAGCCTCCAGAAGGGCACATTAATGGGAGTCAAATGTATGTTCAAGTGAAGGGAAATTGCACAGAGATAGGAAATAGCCTATTTTCTGTGCACATTGTGGCTATGAGAAGACTCAATGGTTCCATTATGTTGTGATGGATCAGGATTGTATGTCGGGGCTGATAAATACAGCTGCTATCAGGAATTCATTTGAACTGTATTTATTGTCTCAGTATTGGACACCCCCTCACAAAAATATACACATTTTCTGAGTTTTTTATTGAAAAGAAAGTTTCAATAATCAAACTTTGTCTCCACATGTGTAATACCTTTGTGACAGAGATGTAAATGCAATTCTGTTCCTCTCCACAAATCAATGGTGTAAAGAACCTCTATAGCAAATGGAAACACTCCTATGCTATCATGTGCTTGATTAAGAACATATCCAAGCGTTTGCACTGGAGTTCTGAGAGTGTTTGACCACATGTCAGAAGTTGAAATCTCTGGAAAGTACTGGAACTATGTACACTATTCAGCTTTCAAGTTTTACCTCTCACTGTGAAAACAGCATTCCATGAGCATACACAAGCACTTCAGTGCCTAAAATCCACAGACAGCATGGAAAAACTGTTCTGAGAGCTATGTGTTGCCTATTTATTTTATTAAAGTCTGAATACAAACAATGGCATCCCAGCATAAAACCAACATCATCATACATTGCAGACATGTCCAGCAACACCACTAATTCCCTATTTCTTTATTTCAGGTGGTACCAACTGTACAGGAAAGAGGTGAAAAGCGGGATATCATTCTGTTTTATGCAAACAGAATACCTATCCACAGGTCAGTTCCCAGGTCTGTTGCTCTAAATGAGATTAAAATAGGTTTATTATGTCATTTGAGAGTCCTGTATTTTCTACTGTCTTCTCTTTCTGCAACACAAATGAAAGAATCCTGTCCCCCATCCTGCTATTCTGATGAGTCCAAGGAAACAGACTGATCAGAGCTTATACCTTCCTTGGCAGGCCATCTTCCTGATATCAACATGAAACCAATAATATAGCTCTTTTAAAATAAGTGGGTAACACGTGGGTAAGTGGGGACATAACTGACCATGGCTCTCCACAACTACCAATACAAAATCCCACATGAGGCATTGATACCATTCCCCAGAAAGCAGCACCAATGACTGAATCAATGAATGAATGAATGTTTGTAGGGGCAGGTTTGGACAACACATGCCTGTCCTGCTCTGCTTCCAGGCTGTAGAGAAGCTGCATGCTCTGTCTGAAGTAACATGTGGCATCTCTTACAACACCACACTGCTGTACTGCCATGGTCCAAGATGCACACGTCACTTTAGACAGAACACTGCCTGGGGCATCTCAATGGAGGATTATACTGAATCACAGGCGTCCTTTTACCCTGGGAAATACAGATATAAGCACAGAAATATATGATCAGATTAGGCAGCTTCTATACAAAAGACTGTACTGTGTTGCACTGCAACTCTTACCATATGTAGCAGGAGCCTTGCAAACAGCAGCTCTATGAATATAAATGAATATAAACCAGGGCTAAAAACAGGACCTTCAATGTTTTTCAAACTGATTTTCAGGGCTCATATAATTTCTAATTTGTTAGGAAGAAATGCACGTTTACCCTCCAGGAAAAAGACAGGGCAAAGGAGGAAGCAATTATGTACATAATTAACACTAATAATTTCAGAAGATAACCTTGTGTGAACTACCAACAGAAGCATGTGGAGGCATACTTTCCCTAGCACACTGAGACCTGAATCAGCCACAGCTGCATCACTCACACTACTCTTTGGTTTCTTTTCTGCAAGTTTTCCTTGCTTTAGGAAATGCTCTGAAAACATAACGTGCTTTTAATATAAGTTGTTCATTCATTCAGTTCAAAACTTAAAACATTTTTTCTCACTTTGCTGTTGTCATCCTCCCCAGTACAATTATGCAAAGCCAAAGAAGCATCTGGGAACTCTCATCATAACACCTCCAAAACATGTGCAGAAATTGCTGTAAAACTTGTCTGCAAAATCTGGTCCTGTGACACAACAAAAGAAAGGCTGAACTGATTCACTGCTGTGGCCAGCAGAGTGTGCCTTTTGCTTGTAGTTGTGAGCAGTTCATTGAAACCACAGAGGGTTTACTACACAGCTGTGCCTCACATGTCCACCCATCATCAGCACCTCATCTTTGATTTCATATGGAATATTTGCATTGCCCACCAGCAAAAGAGCAAATGTCTGCAGGCACTAGTATATACACATGGTAATGTAATAAATACTTTGTGGTTTTATATAATTAATAAAATGGCTAATTAAATCATTCACATCACTCTGCCCAATCTTCTCTTGTGTCTGGAGTTGTATCTTTTCCTAGCTCCCAGAAGACTTTAAGTTGACTCTCATGAAATACATATCGAAAGATCCTACACTTTTAGACAATAAGATCAATTAACTATTCATTAACACTGCTTTTTGACTTTCTGGCTAATAATAAGCAGCTGTGTAAGATTTAAGTAAGAATACAACAGTCATTTTCAATCAAGTTACTTACCTTTGCAGCACTAACACACACATGGACACACACCTGATTGACTTGTACCTTAAAATTACTGTTAAATAACGTATTAATACTGTTAAGCATGTATTTAATTTGGGTTATTATACCTTAAGAGCAGAACTACGTCAAAGTGGAGTCTTAACACATACTACATAAAGGTTGTACACTGCTAGGACAGTCAACAGGATGTTTAAATCTTAAAATGCTAGATTAGCATTGGCACTCTAGTTGGAGGGAAAAAAAAAAGAGTAGATGGGCAATTTTCCAATGTTCTGGGTTCTGAATATTCCATGGAGAGAAACAAAACAGAGTAGGCATAACTTTTTCCATAATGAGTAATGAATATTTAGTTCACGGTATCAAATATATTGGGAAAATGATCCAGGTGAACAAAGATTTAGCATCTTACCATTTTCCTCGTGGCAATACTCCTGTCCTGCAATGCTGCATCTCCGAAAAACCATCTTATTTTCAGTGAGGGTTCCAGTCTTGTCAGAGAAAATATACTGAATCTGGCCAAGGTCTTCAGCAATATTTAGTGCTCTACACTGAATAGTTGAGTCTGTTTTCTCGTGGTAAAAATCAATGTCATTCTGTATTAAATAAATTTGTCCCAGTTTGACAATTTCAATTGAAACATAGAGAGAAACAGGGATCAAGACCTACCAAAATAAAACACAGGGATTAAATAAAACAAAGCCTTTGGCCAGTTACAAACATGAAGTAGCTCTACTGAAGCCGAAGAGTTACTTCAAGGGTGCAAATGAGATCAGAATATGACCCACGTTCAAAGCAGATCAGTTACCTGCAATAGAATTATCATTGTCCAGAACATATAGAAGCCTGCTAATGTTGGAGGACTCAATTTCCCATCTGGCTTGGGGATGTTAAAAAAAGGTACTTCCGAATACCTACTTAACCAAATTCCATGACCTTGAAAACAAGAACAAGATAAAGTCAATCAGTTTTATGTAAAGTGTATCACAGCTCAGGGTTATTGTGGTAGCTGTTACACTGCAGTTGTTTCTAGGCTTTTAAACAAGATGAAACAAGAGTTTCATCTCTTGAGCTTTTTTCCCCAACAGGAGTCCCAAATATCAATACATACATGAATAAACACCTACAAGCATTCTATCAACAGCATCTACATAGCATACCTCAGAAGTAAAAAATATTAACTACACTTCATAAACAGTTTTTTTTCCTCAAAAAAAAACCCCTCTGGCAATTAATTTTGTTGTCCTTGCTTGTCCAGGTTTTAGTCTACTAGTGAACACATCATCATGTCATCATTTTTAAGAGTAATCTGAAGAAGTTTTATTAAATATATTTTTAACATATTTTAAACACCTTTATGATCCGTCAGAAAAGTTTGTCTGTTTAGATTTACTCAAGCTAACCCCCTAAAATACCAAGTCAGTTCAAGTCCAGTCACACTAGGTCTCTCACCTCAATGTGTACCTGCATCTCATGTTACCCCAAAAATCCTAAGAGAAAGTAGGACTTTTGCAGAACAGTTAATGAGAAAAAAGATAAATGGAGAAACAGGCTCCAAACCCAAAAACTCACATCAAGAACACACTTTTTAACCACACTCCAGATCAAACATGAGAACATGAACTTAAACCTCACAGCACTCCCAACTTTCAGGAAATTACACACGGATGAAAACTGACAAAATCAATCAGCCCCAAAATAAAACACTAACTATTGCAGGCTGAGAGAGGAAAACAGCAGGAATCTGAGCGATTCTCACTTACCTATTGCACCACTTAAACACATCAAAAGTAGAAGCAGAACACACCAAAGAATATCAGTGTTCACTTTTCTCTCCAATTTACTGCGCTTGTAATGAGGGCCACTGTTATTCAGCATAGCTTTGGTTTCATGACCTGCAACGAAAAAGGAGGTTGAAATTCTCTAATAACAAGTATCACAACTGCAAGTGCTTTATATTTCTAAAGCTTTGGAAAACAGAATATTACTATTAACTAATATTTGAACACCCATTATAAATATAAGCAAATTAGATTCTCCTACAATACATGAATTCTGTCTCAAAGAAAACTGAACAAGTTAAATCAAAATCTGTCACGTATACCTTAACTTTTATTAGCTTACATTAACTGTCACTAATATTCTTTCCTAGAGAAACAACATCATTCTTGACCCTTCCATATTATTTCTAACATTTTCTACGAAATCCTACACCTGTGTTACAACTTTCTGGCTGGATACATCATATTGAGTAGTATAAAAATATCTGTTTTTTCTATAAATTGTAGAGCAGAACTAGAAGAACAGCACTAGTTTCAGTTTAGGTTAAGAAAAACGTCCTAAAGAAGTCATCCATTTTCATGTCCATTTCAAAATCTCAGTTTGCCATTGCAACTAACAAGTTGAGGACCAGGACCTGCTCACACACAACAGATCCACCCTTCCAGGAATAATCAGGGGTATCAGTTTTTTACTGTTAAAATAGAAACAAACAGAACCCAGATATGCATTCTTAACATTTCTAGCTACGGCTGGATTCAAGCTTTTACTCTCCCAATTCCCCTTTATACAATACTGTTTCTTAGGGCACACAACTATCTTGTTTGCAAGGCAGTCTGTGAAAGCCAGGGCAGTTCACTAACCTGCATATACCACTATGCCTACCACAGCTTCTGTGTTTCTTACTGTGCATCCTCGGAGCAGTAAGTTTTCCTTGCTGAGACCCACTCGATCCATGTTTGAATGCTCACTGCAAAAAGAACACATTGTTTCAGCTGCAGACTCTAACAATTACCAATCAGGCTTTGCAAAATCATTAGGAACAGATTTCCCAAAGAAGCTGCAGGTCACTGACTGCCATCCTGACATCTCTGATTGGACTTTCCAAATGAATGGAGTAATATGAAAGCAGATCACCCTTGAAAATCTGAGCATGTAGGTGCTGCATTGCCATTTTTTTTTCCATGTAAAAGCCTAGCATTTGCCATCTGGCATACGAGAAGCAGGCAACACTACTGAAAAGAGATCCAAGAAAAAACCTGGAGATCTGAAACCCTATCCTATTCGGATTATCAGTATCAGAAATTATTTGAAAAAAATATAAAATCTCATCCTAAATAAACTGTGAGCACATATACTTTCAGTGCAGCTAGGCTCACTCTTTGTCAAGGTGCATCCCAAGACACTAAGATTTATATGTAATTCTTTTCATTCTCAAGTATCTAATGTGTCAGTGTGCAAAGGGAAGAATACAGACATTCCAACTCTCAAAACCTAAAAGAGGTCACCTATAAAACAGTATTTTGTTTTCTTGTTATCTATGGAAAGTCATAAACCTGTAAGAATTGCAGAATCATGGAATGGCTGGGGTTGGAAGGGACCTTAAAGATCATCTACTCCCTTATGGACTCTCCCAACCCTAAACCATGAAGGAAACCCCTAACATAAACCCAGCTTGAAGAAAAGACACAGAGAAGCACACTGTTCAAAAGGACTGAAGGTTACACAAAACAAATCAGAGTAGGAAAGGAAGCCAGTCCTTCTGATTTCCAATTCTAAGCAATGCAGCTTGCCCAGTCAGGCCGTGGTCCTGACCAAATACTGTAGATACCATATGTTATGAAGAACAGATTTAAAACAGCTATTTCAAGTATGAAATATACAATTGCAAAACAGCCTGAACTAAGATGTTGAAAATATTTAATAAAAAATAAAAAGCATCAGTGCCCCATCTGCTGCTCAGAAAACCCTTCTGGAGCTATGTCTGTTGTGCTGCACTCAGAAACAGTGGTGCAAACCGACCTCTATTCATATTGTTATTTCTTAAAGCAAACATTAAAAGATCTCTGAAAATTAGGAAGAATGCCATAGCAAATGACAATAGTTTAAAGAGCCACCAAACCTACTTACACAAAGCCTCGGAAACGACTGAGGTCATTGTTAGGACTTTCACACTCTATTCTACTGGAAAATTCTTCTGGATCAATTTCAGAGACCTAAAGCCATGGGAAGGAAAAAATCCCAGAGAACTCAGACAAAATATGACAGAAGTTAAAAACATCATAAATTCAGAGGTTCAGATACTACTATCTAACAATTTTGCCTCTAAACTGTAAGTTGCCGGTGGTGTTTATGGTCTCCCACCCAAGTACAAATAAGACACCACAGGACTTCCTAGTAAATATTAAATACTGTCAAATATCACTTGAATTGCTGATATTTTGAGAACACTGGAGAGGAAAAAAAAATGGGTGGAAGGAGGAAGAAAAAACACCACAAAGCAGTAAGAACATCTGAAAGGCAGAGATTTCCCATAGACTTTTTTAAAAAAAGAGACACTGTCTTCTCTGCAAGCAGAATTTCTTGCAAACAGACTTTTTTCCCAATACCATTACCAGGATGGTTTCCATGCTAACACAAAGAAAGCAGGTAGAACTTTGCAATGATGTTTGAGACTTACAAATACTAAAGAAGGAGCTGTTATGAAAGACCAGAAGTACATATTGCAAATGAAGAGCAGGTGAGCTCTTCAGTGAAAAGTCAAGTGAAACAAATCTCCTGTATTAATAAGAATGAAACATGACAAGAAGTAAGAGAAAAGCCAAAAGGCCTCATCTTTGGACTTACCTGCTATCGCAATTTAATTTCAATTAATGGCATATGAGTATGCTTCTAGTCTCTAATATAACACAGGCTTGCCTCTGGTATAACTGAGTAATTTCCAAGCTGAGCACCTGCCACTAACTCTTTGGAAAGCAATTTGTTCTACTCTTTAAAAAAACCCCAATGACCAATTTATGGTTTCAAACTCCTAAGCCTATTTCTCTAATTCACGGGTGTTACTGAATATATCTTAGACATAATGACAGGTCTCTGAGAAGGCTGTACTCCATCAGCTGGATGACTTCACACTGGCAGAATAGCAATGGTGAGATCAAAACACAATCCTGTAAGTAGAATCTGAAACTCGGAAGACATCGTATTATTATCAAGTGCTTTATTAGCCTGATTAAAATACTTTTTTTGCTACGTTTTGCTGTATTCATGTGTCAAACTGTATTAACCTCAAGTCAATATGAACACAGCCTTCGACATACAGACCATTCAGTCTCTTTGCAAATTTAGTTAACTGTGAAAGACCTGTCTCTCCACCGACCTGTCTCATGTTGATTTGAACAGCAGGTTCTTTTCTGTAAAATGTTAAACGGAATACTTGGTCTATGCTTTTCAAGAATTTTGCACTCTACAATGATTACCCAAATAAGAACTACTCTCAGAGTGAAATAGCCAAAGCAGTCAATTCTTTTCTTTTATCGTTTGGAAACGGTAAAATGGTGGTGGAGTTTCTTGTAATATACCTTGAAATAGCAAGCACTGAAACTCTGGGTGTAATCTATAGTGGATACAACTGCCTACACTCTGCCAGCATAAAAGAGAGGTCACAAAAACTATGTCCAAAAGCAGGTATCTTGATAAGGACACTCAGGTCTTCCTGGACTATACGTTTATGTTCTGTATTTTTCTCATAATAATCATAATTTTGGCAAAGCAAATACTGAGAGTAGAAGCCTTTGTACATTATTTCTTGAGCTTTCCTATGTTTCCTGGCACAAAAGAAAATATTTAAATTTTGGCAGAATTAGAATTACTTGGATTTTGCGTAAAGGTCCCTAAAGAAGGGAGACAATAAAGATGGAAACTGAGTAAGGGAGCTGGGAATGATAGGCCCCAGACACTCATTGAAATGGGGAGATGCAGATTTCGAAGGCCAAGCCTGCTTGCTTTGGCTGTGCTGTGTTCCTGACACATACACCATTTGATAACAGCATGGGAATGGAGTGGGTGTATAGCTAAGGTGGAAGAGGAGAGCTAGGAATGCTTTTGATCAGCTTGGCTTAGGTGTTCCAGAAGAAAAGAACAGCACTTTCCACTAGCTTTGAGGATGCTGCAGCCAGGACTGGATTCAGTCACTGACCCTGCAGGCTGAGAAGGAACCAACTGGTACAGTTCCTTGCTATCTCTCATAATCTAATAGGAAATACTCACTGTTCAGTGTTTTACTGCAAAGGGCATATTAGCTTCTTCACCCCTGTGAACCTGTGCATGGTTCAGCTTCACATGAGGGGTATAAGGAAAAGGAAATTAAACCCTTCCTAAGAGGAAGCAATATTTGAGTATCTTGAAAGCAGCAGAGCAATGTCAGTTTGTTCTCAAAATCATCATCCTCAGGAAGTTGGTCTTCATCTGTTTTGTGTATTTCCCTTTGAATGCCAAAATGGTTGGAGACACTGTGTTCTATGTTTCATTACCCACTGCTATTTAAGAACCCTCAAGTTACTTTCCCAATTTCTTTACTGTTGTCATTTAAGCACTGAAAAAATAATTAAAAAAAAATCACTGAGAGTTTCAGCTCCTGCCTCTTGCTTTCGTTTTGTCTTGCCTTCTCTTAAAGGAATCCCACGTGCATGAACAGGTGCCCCATTAACAGACGTTTTCACTGTCTTTGTACCTGCTCAGTCACAAAGAAGCGGGACATAACCTTGGAAATAGAATAAGACAATGTAATTCTTGTCTTCATATATTCTTTAGTTTGGTGTTTATTCCTTTTCTTCTGAGTTTAAGAAGTCAGGCAGTCAACCCCTTACATGGCACTGCCAGTTTTAGTTAGCCTGAGTTTATAAGAACAAATTCCCAGGCCGGAGCTCAACTGGAGGTGCACTTGAGACCTGTGAAACATTCAGAAACCAAGTAATCTTGACAAGAAGATTCTATAATAACTTTAATTTTTTTTTCCTATTTGAAGACAAAAATGAATGAAAGTCTTGAGTGGTGAAGGAATTGACACCTTTCTTGTACAGTATGACTTTTCCTAAAATATTTTCTGAGAACTTGTACCAAAAAAGAAATCAGTCTCTTTCTTGAGTGGGACTCAAATTAGACCTTGGTAGCAGGAGCTGCTATGGGAACTGGGCCACCTAAGTATGCTGTAAGCCTGAAGAACCATTGGAATTTCGCTTTTGTGTAATAATATGTATATACAAAAGGATCAAACAGTCCTTCCCACCTTGCTGCTTTAAGATTAAATCAAGAAATAAAAATAAAAACAGAAGGAAAAATAAAAGTAAGCATGTGACTGTTAGGGGATAAGAAAGCTTTGTTCATGGATAGCACATCAAATCTTTGGTATTACCATACCCACTAAGTGATGGCACATAGAGACAACTTCTTACTTCACCACTGCTGTAAATTCAGAGGCAGTTCAGGTAATTTTATCTCCAGAGGACTGAACAGTCTTTTTATGGACAACACTGAAGCTCCCTGCTGTTGTTTAAGCATGGTGTTTCAGCAGCAGAACTGAAAACTACAAAAATGTCAGGATTCTTTAATCTTTTAAAATTGTCTTTTTTGTGCCAGCCTCACCATTTTGGCTGCTAGCTGTAATATTAAAGTATTGTATGGGAGTAACAAAGCGTTTGCAATGTGAAGAAACAGTGAAAAAAGATAGTATCTGCTCTTCTCTCTAGGTCTTTATATAGCACTGAAGTTCCTTCTAAAAAACTCAAATTTTCATCCATGACAGGTTATGCCCCATAAGTAACTACTTGAGCTTTACCTGAATTATTAATTTTGCTGGTTTGTATTCCTTGAAATAGATCTGTCTTTCTCTGGGTTATTTGAACATGCAAAGATTTGCTCCAAAACCACTCGAGCAACAAATTAGAACTGTGTTACCTAGTACCTTGATGATGGGGATTGCTGAGCTACCATGAATGAGGCAGTCTAGAGGGCTGAGCTGTTTGGGCTTTTTAGCTCATCACGTGTCATGTCAGCTTTCTTACACTACTAGAAAAGCATAATTCTCACCTGCTCTGAATAACCTCTCACCACCTGTCTCTGCTTTAGATTGGTTTCTCCATCAAGGCCTGCAGTTTCAATGTAACAGATCCCATCTGGGTCACTAGAATATAACAGCACCATGTCAGCAGGAATGATTTCATTACGGGATAGCCGGACGAAGTCCCCAACATTGACATTTTTCCAGCACTCATCTATGTATTTCTTCTCTTTCCTGGAACACATAGAAGAACAGTGATATTTTACAAATGCAAAAGGTGAAACTGAGAAAAACCTACAGGGGCTATTTGTGATGGCTACTACAACACATCAAAAGTGACATCTTCCAAAATACTTGTTTTCTCATATGGAAACAGAGCATGAAAAGAAAACCAAAACAAACCAAAAACATTCACTATCCTTCCTTTATCTTTGTATTTTACATCTTGGAATATCCTTTTATGACAAGTATAAAAGAAAAACAATTATGTGGGCAGCACTGATATATACTTGGAGAAGTTTTTTGAGGGTTAATTTAGAGTATGATCAGTTTGCATTCCTGTCTTTTTATTTTCCATGATAATAACTCCTTAGCAGACTCACCACTAGCAGACTCCCTGCCTGACTTGCACCCACAGTGTGCAACACTGCAGTCCTGCACGGTGGAACACAGCTGCTAACACTCATATCGAACTGTGTGATGCACTCCAGTAGAAAACTATCTTGTTCTGTTTGGGGAGATGGTATCACACTATGAGTACAATGCGATGCCATTAACGGGTGATAAACTAGCAGCCTTTCAATTTCCATGAAGCCATTTTAGAGAAATTAAAAATACACCTTTCAAAACAAATGCTATGTACAACAGTGCTTCCCTAGTCAAAGTACCTTGGTTAATACAGTATGAACACATGCACGAACTCACTTCCCTCAAAGCAAAAACTGTTTTTGCAGATTTTACACTAATTTGATAACCATTTAAAAAAAATGGTGGTTGAGTCTCAAGTAGTCCCTGAGTGAACTGATCTAAACAGCCCTGCTTTGACCAGAGGGTAAGACTAAATGACTTTCAGAGACCTTTTCCAAATTACATTATTTTATGCTTCTGTAAGTATCATCCAGAAGGTAATCAAAAGATTTATCACCAAGTTTTTCACATGATAGTCATAATCAAATAGTAACAATAAACCACAAAGACTGTTGTCTCTTACCTGCTATATACTTTGGTTACTAAGTTGTTTATCTGTTTATCCATTTTGTACCTTGAGTAATCTTCCAGACCATCCTTAACTGCAATAATTGTCAGAACCCCTATCAGAGGTAGCATTGTAATTTCTTTTTGGAAAGCTTCAACCACAGGAACCCAATTTAGGACAACTAGAAATAGGAAATACAAATTGGCAACTCTGAAACAAAGAGAAAACACAGGATTTAGCTGTGCTAGCAGACAATGATTTTATTTCCCCACTCCATGCTATACAGACACTTAAGTTATCAGCAATTTATCTTTTCTTCACCTGCAATTTAAGGAATAACTATCCAGAACTCTGTTTTCACTCTCCTGCCAATATATTACTTAGCAACACAGTTGCTTAACATACATGATCAGGTAATGCAGAAACCAAGAATTCTCCTGTATTTTCAAAACTGTCCTCCAAGCACACGTTTTCCAGAGTGAGGCACTGGTGAATTTGCACTCTCAAATTTCCAGGTTCTTTAAACTTAATTTTATCATCTCTCAGGGAAGATATGTTTTAAATAGGAAGCCATCCTGTAACCTCCCTGCATAGCTTGACAGATCAGCAATTCTCCAAGCAGAAGGAAGATGAAAATAATTGGAAAGAAAGACATGAGGGAAGGGGAAAAAGACACGTGCAGAAAATACGCTGAAAATCCTACTGGCAATTGGTGTGTGGCAGTGCTCCAAGAGCAAGGAATAGTTCAATAGTCCAAAGAACAGAATAAGTGGAAGGTACATAAGCTAAGGAGAAAATTATTAGCTCAATAATGATACTCAAGAAACTTTGGCCATATAACATGCATCTTTTCAGAAGTGATAGGTCAGCATGAGGAATAATTTTTTAGTGTATAGTAACACACACAAATATTTAAATAGAAGGATTCCGTTTCAGAAGAATTACCACAGTCAAAAAGGAGTTCCTTACCTGTGAAATTGTTCAAATAAATTCCGTGGTAAAAAATTCAATAAAGTATACCTAGTAGTCCGTATTTTGTTGTTCATGTACAGTTTTGATACCTTTTCATACTCTTCTTTAAAATGTCCCAAACAGGGTATCACTATCCTATGCTTGCCAGTAGTTTTTGATGATTGATAGCACTTGCTACTTGAATTGCTGCTGCTGCATTCTCTGCTCTCTGTTGATATCAGTCGCTGCCAGCGGTATCGGGCCCAGCGGATGGGATCTGCCATTGCACCTGAAACATTTTATAGTCCAAGGAGTGTCATCTCTCCAGAAATGTTTGAAAATACAGCAAGTTACACAACATTTTTGTAAAGGCTTTTCAGCAAAAAGTCAGAGCTACAGTTCTGAACGAGCCTATGGAAAAAAGTAATTTTCATAATGAACCCAATCCAGACTGTTAATATGTTATGTAAGGTCAGGAACTTCTGCTTCAAAGATTGTATTTATCAAACCTTTCAGGATCCTATCATTTCACTACTCTGTTTAAAACGCATATTTCTGTAAAGCAGTCCACCCACCAGTTTCTCATGCTGTAGCATGGTGCAGAAAGGCAGAGAAGCTGCTAATTCTGCAGAGAACAGCATTTTGAAAGGAATCCTCACCTCAGACACTGCAGTCCATGCTGATGGTTAACAAACCTTAAACTCAGAAGTCAACAATCTAGCAATATGCATCTGAATACAGCTTTAGATTCGAAGTGAGGAATTGCCAGTGAAAGGCACTAAGTAGCTATCATCAACAAAACTTCTTCCACTAAATTACAAAGAGGTTTGAGAACTTTTTAACAACTGACAGAGGATGAATAAATTTCATGTCAGTGCTTCTCCTTTATCCACCTAGCTAAGCTCTGCATTCTACCCAGGAATTTGTTTTCCTACAGAAAGCCAAAGTTCATAGCTAAAGGTGATACTCACTTATAGCTACAGGTGCTGCTCACTTTATGAAATCACCCAATGCAGTCAGAAAAGGCCTCTTGCACAAACCATCCTTTGTAGAAGCTCAAAAGTGCAGGTTTTTATAACGAAGTTTTTTTCAATTTGAAAGCTTTAACTAATAGTTGCTACACTTCTTGTATTACTTCTTCCATGGAAGAGTTCATCATATATTTGCTTAAAACTATGAATTGCATGAGCCCAAAATCATCAGTACTTCTCTCTTCCGGTTACTTTCTTTCCATATGGTATCTTACTACCTTCATATATTCTAGCAAAACGTTTGACTAAATCCTCTTCCTAAATCCCCACACAAAAGCTGCTTCTAAAACTTGCTGGATCTTCCTAAATGAAATCTCTTAAAAACAGACTCTCCTGTGTGGTTATCAAACTAATCCTGACTTTGGTTTCAATTCAAGCTTCTGTTCATGTGGTATCTTTCTCTTTTACTGACAAATGCCACTCTGTCCTGCTCAGATTCCTTCAAAATGTTGCTCTAAATAGTAATTTTCCAAACTATCAACTTGACTATTTTATCCAGACTATCTTCTCTTACATATCTTCCTTGATTCCTCTATTATAACTGCAGAATTCTTGACACATGAGCACAATGCCCTCACCAGGCCCTCGAAAAATTGGGTACTATTTTTATCTCCACATCAACTCATTCTGAAAAAGATTCTCCAAACTTCCTGAAAAGCCTAGATGCCTGTGTCACTACCCCACAGCTAGAAAGCTTTTATCTAATGTTTATCTGGCATCTTCATATCCTCAAATTAAGATGGGACATTTTTGTCCTATCACCATTAGATGTGGATAGCTACTGACTGTCACGGTGTCTTGGAAGACTGTAACCGTGTATATGAAAATGATCTTTAGAAATCATGACCTGCACATGAAGGAGAGAAAAAAAACCCCAAACCCTTCTATACAGCAATTCCTCTCAGTATCCCCTGGCAGTACCCCACTGGTCTTGCAAGGCCCTTCTGCAGTGTTCCTCCAGACAACATAAGGGACCAGTCTGAGGAAAAGGCTTTCCTTTTTTTTTCCGTCCTAAACCTTGTGGTCCCAGTAATCATCAGACTACCAAAGGTTGCAAGGGAATGCAGCTGGGATTTCTTAGAGAAGCGAGAAAGAAGAAAATTTGTGAAAATTTTCTAAAATACATGGCATCCTCTTATTTTCACAGAATGCAGCATATTCTATCTTTGTTTCCTCTAATGCTATGGCCTGGGAGGCAGCTCCCAGAGGCTGCATAGAGGTTACTCTCCCATATTAGTCAGGGTCAACCTTTCTTCCAGAAATGGGAACTGACAGTTCGAAGCAGCTACTTCACACCAATAAATCACTTTAAATGTATGGCTACCACACAGTCATACATATGAACACTGATCTGTACACGTGTGAAAGAGATACTTCAGTTAATTTACAGTGAGCCTGAGAACAAGTCTAAAGCTTGAAAGGTCTTAAAAAATGTTTAGAGACTGCAGAACGTACTGCTAGTGGAGTCCATACATGACTATGCAGATTTCAATACACCTAGAGCTCTCAAACCCCCAAACTAACAGCGACCCATCTACAAAAGTCAGGACTGAATTAAAGAACAATACTGGAAATTAAAGAATTTTTAAAAGATGACTGGCTGAAAAGAGGTAGGTTTGTTCTTTTTCCTGTAATCACAAATTTTAGCAGTTCAACACTTAAAAAATCCCCAAACTTCTGGATTTTGGATGGCATCCTTAAGACTTGACCATTTTGAGGAAACAACAATTCTCCTTAACTGTCTCTGCTGTGACAAATCAGTAATTGTACAAACAGATTTTATACAATGAGAGGCCTTTTCAAATAAATGTTTGTTTTAACTAAATATATGCTGGATTATCAGGGAGAGTTTTAACATGATTTCTTCTGTTAAATTTATCAGACTCCCTCAAGCTTTCATCTTTAGCATGAATCATACAGGGTGTGTCAATTAACCACACTTTTGCCCAATAATCTGACATACCTCTACACACTGTTACAGTGTACAGTGACCTAGTAGCAAACTTCAGTAAGTAAAGCTCAGGAAATTTCACAAGATGCCACCAGCCAGATATTTGAGAGCAGGCCACATTTCTAGTGAAAATCATGTTTATTTTCATAAGACCAGGCAAACAAACATTTGATACTGATGAAGAAGGAACTCTTTCTTGATCTCCCAAGGCTAATGGGAATGCAAAAGCTTTAAATAGGAGATCCTGTTTAGTGAAAATTACATAGGCAAAATAATCTATACAGCTAAAATACACCTCACAAATTTCAAAACCTTCTAAATTCTAAGTCCTTTTGGTTTATATGATCTTCTGTCTGTTCTAGATTTGATACCCAGTGACCACTACTTTTAAAAAATAAAGCAGTTAGGAAAGCAGGGAGGAAGAGCACTGGACATTTTAACATGACAGCATGTTAAGATGGAATTCTTCATCACTGTATGAGGAGCTAATAGTTTAAACTGCATATGAAATGTAGTTGAAGAGCAGTCACCCCTCATCACATACATAACCTCCCCGAGTCCAAAACCTCTGCCCCACCCTTCCTCAGAGAAGCAGAGCTTTAAAGGGAACAGGAAACATCAGATTCAGTTCTATGCACTGCATATTTTGTCAGTATCTCCTGTATTCTAATGTAACTACTTCTAACAAAACTGAAGATTGTAAGGATGAGAAATAACTAACACAAACCCACCACACTGGAAACACTTTATGAGAAACAACAAGTAATCTCCTAAGATCAGAGAGCTGAATCAGACAATTAACAGACATCTTGGGAAAGAAGTATCTGGATCTCATACTCTGCCATAATGCCCTCTGACTCACCTGGGATTTGACTGAGCTACTATTTTGCAAATGGTTTTTTTTCTTCAAATCATTTGCATCATCATTTTAAAATAGCAGTTTTGAGGTTTCAAACTTCAGAAACCTCTTTTGCATTTCTTAATTCTTTTGAGTAATTTTATTCTTCTTCCTCATTAAATTTGGGTCATAAAGAATAGAATATAGAGTATTGAACACGTTTTCTGTGGCCAGGAGTTTCATCAGCTTCATATTATGCATTTTAAAGGATTAAGTCACCAAAGATCAAATTAAAAAATTGAACAACTTTTCTAAGAAATTCATTCCCTTAAAACATTTGATCCTCCTGTCATATTATTATTCATAGCCAAGTCTTGAGTTCCCCAGCTAATGTGAACTTAAAGTATTAATAAAAACCAGCAGATTTTCTTGAAACACTAGCAAAAACCTCAAAAGATGAGTTATTTTGAAGCACTATTTTGAGAAGTTTATTTCTAAAAAACATGTTTTTTGTTTAAAACCCCCAAGAATAATGTTCATGTATTTGAAAACAGGAAGCCTAAATGATCACATACTAAGTTTTGAGGACAGCCTCATCCAAGCTAGCCTGTCCTCATTTTCATGCCATACACTATTCAAGTGAACACGCCTGATCTTCCTAAATGGAAACAGCTGATACAGAGGCAATTCACGTATGTCACACTCAAAAAGGGAAGTTTTTGTAGTAAGCTTACTAGCATAATGATAATGATGAAATGTGGAAGGGAATTATATAATACTGGATTTATCTGCCTTCTTGCTTTTTTCCTACACCAGCTCCTTCATGTGCTTTGATTTTTTCCTCTTCTTATAAAGCACTTTGAGATATGAAAGCTGGAGGGACCAGATAAAGTTAATGGGAAATAGCTGGCTGTCATACCTTAGTTAAAGAAAGGCACAACAGCATCATTTTTACCACAAGACAGATCAACACTATACACTTTCCATGTTTGACCATCCTACATCACAATAAAAACAGGCTTTGAGAACTCTCTGCAAGTGGTAACGCTGAGAAAATCCCTACTTTTAAATGGTCTGTACCCTGGAAGAAGGGATTTGCATCATAAAGCCCCGTGTAAGCATTCTTTTGTATGTGTATTTCATGTCCATAAGTTGTGTTCTTTTCACATCACTTCCCTTCCACTGTCTCTTGTAAATTCTGACAGCCTCCAATTCTGTGAAGTATCACCTGCATACCTGCATGCAAGCCTTTGCTCCTAGCTTTCCTGGTGGGGGAGGGAACTGACACAAAAAATTCTTTAGTTCCAGTTATATTATGGGTAGCCTTTGGCAAATCACTTAGCAGTCACTGATCTCTCTCATACTAGATAATTTCTAAAGATCATCAGCAAAACAGATGTGTAGACAATTTAGCTTATGTTTATCCTGCTCTGGAAGTGCACCTTACTATTATGTTGTGGTCATTTGCTCACGTGTCAGGTGAAGTGCCTTACCATTTACCCTGGCTTCTCCTAACCACTTCCTCCCTTCTGACAACATCCTTCTCTTTTGTTGTGATCTCCAAATAATTAGTCCTCATTTTTCTTTCAGAAAATTCTTTGTTAAATGCACTTGGTAAATGACATATTTGTCAAGAATGTTCCCTAGACCTTTGACACACGCATGCTTATGGTGCGTCTCTCCATCCTGTTCCTTCTCTGGCAGTGTGCCTTCCTCTGGGCTGGTTTCCAGTAGGAATTAATAGATCAATTCTTGCCAAACAGATATGCAACAAAAATAATTCATTATCTTACCTGAAAATTTTCTAGAGCACCTAAAAGGGAAGCAACTCAGACAATGGATCTCCCCAGCAACATGCCTTTTTCTTTCCTCCCCACATGAACATATCACGATGTCCTGCAGGTCTGAGGTTCTGGGTGACCAGGGAATATAAAAAGTGCTATCCTAGATGGAGGCCACACTACACAATGCTATGGAAGAGTGGAGTCATCCCCAGTCCACACAACAGCCCCATTTAAACAGTCCCTCTTAGCGAGTGTTACTGCACAGGTACACTA